TAAAAATCTCATCGGACTTGTGCAGAAGCACTGGTGATTGCCCGCCCGGTCTTGTGAACATCTGAAATCGTTTGCGAAATTGTAGTCGGTATTTTATTGAATCTATGAAAAACAAGTTACAAATTTGTCGCCGACCTTGTTTTCTACCGTTAACTGGTATCCTATTTAATTATATATGGTTGTTCCCCCTTCTTATCAAAGGGAACCAGTCGTCAACGCGATATACCCAATTACCAACAAAATCGAGAACGAGGCTCAACCATGTGCTTGCAATAAACACAATCTATAAATACCACTCAATGTAAACAAACAATCAAGGATTCGATCTCATTCGATTCTGAAATGGAAACAGGGGGCTATCCCAGGTAAAACATTGAAAAGTTGAAAATGCCTTCATGAATAACCGGAGAAGTTTCGAGTTGAAAAAACCTATGCAGAAAACGATCTAGGCATTTTATTATTTTAAACAAAAGTCAAAATTAACGGTGAAAGTGACAATAAAGAGGTGTTGATAGGGGTTTATAGAACAGAGAATAATGGGCAAAAAAACATAAAGAATATTTTGTTTAGAAAAAAATTGACAAAACATAAAGAATTGAGAATAAAATGCTCCGCAGGGCGCAGCTTGATACGACCGCAGAGGTCGAACCCTGAACAGTTGGGGCAAGTATGGACACAACATTCAAGCTTGATACAGCTTTGCATTTGGATTGTGATTAAATATTTGACACAGCATAGGTTTCTAACACAGATTGAATGTGGTCTAAGAACTTAAAAATTTTAAATTGGACATTCACCTATTATGGTCCAATATCCAAAATCTAAATACATGGTTAGATTCAGCATATCAAAGAACCCCAATAATTCAATTTTTGATGAAATCAAACAAAGTTTAATTTTGGACCCTTTTGACCTCAATGTGGACAAAGTTGATAACGGGGCCCAAAAATCAAAAATCTAAATACATGGTTAGATTCAGCATATCAAAGAACCCCATATATTCAATTTTTGTTGAAATCAAACAAAGTTTAATTTTGGACCCCGATTTGGACCAACTTGAAAACTGGGCCCATAATCAAAAATCTAAATACATGTTTAAATTCAGCATATCAAAGAACCCTAAGAATTCAATTTTTGTTAAAATCAAACTAATTTTAATTTTGGACCCTTTGGACCTTAATGTAGACCAATTTGAAAACGGAACCAAAAATTAAGAATCTAAATACACGGTTAGATTCGGCATATCAAAGAACCCCAATAATTCAATTTTTGATGAAATCAAACAAAGTTTAATTTTGGACCCTTTTGACCTCAATGTGGACAAAGTTAATAACGGGGCCCAAAAATCAAAAATCTAAATACATGGTTAGATTCAGCATATCAAAGAACCCCATATATTCAATTTTTGTTGAAATCAAACAAAGTTTAATTTTGGACCCCGATTTGGACCAACTTGAAAACTGGGCCCATAATCAAAAATCTAAATACATGTTTAGATTCAGCATATTAAAGAACCCTAAGAATTCAATTTTTGTTAAAATCAAACTAAGTTTAATTTTGGACCCTTTGGACCTTAATGTAGACCAATTTGAAAACGGAACCAAAAATTAAGAATCTAAATACACGGTTAGATTCGGCATATCAAAGAACCCCAATAATTCAATTTTTGATGAAATCAAACAAAGTTTAATTTTGGACCCTTTTGACCTCAATGTGGACAAAGTTGATAACGGGGCCCAAAAATCAAAAATCTAAATACATGGTTAGATTCAGCATATCAAAGAACCCCATATATTCAATTTTTGTTGAAATCAAACAAAGTTTAATTTTGGACCCCGATTTGGACCAACTTGAAAACTGGGCCCATTATCAAAAATCTAAATACATGTTAAGATTCAGCATATCAAAGAACCCTAAGAATTCAATTTTTGTTAAAATCAAACTAAGTTTAATTTTGGACCCTTTGGACCTTAATGTAGACCAATTTGAAAACGGAACCAAAATTTAAGAATCTAAATACACAGTTAGATTCGGCATATCAAAGAACCCCAATAATTCAATTTTTGATGAAATCAAACAAAGTTTAATTTTGGACCCTTTGGACCTCAATGTGGACCAATTTAAAAACGGGGCCCAAAATCCAAAAACTAAATACACGGTTAGATTCAGCATATTAAAGAACCCCATGAAATCAAGAATAAAACCCCATTGAAATTGGTCAAGAAATAAGCAATTTATAGGAAGTATCTTCTTTTGCACAATCCTGTGCTATTAAATATTTCTTGCTATTGCGCAATACTGTACAATTGACAATTTCTTGCTATTGTGCAATATTGTGCTATTGGATATTTCTTGCTATTGCGCAATACTGTGCAATTGAAGATTTCTTGCTATTGCGCAATACTGTGCAATTGAAGATTTCTTGCTATTGTGCAATACTGTGCAATTGAAAATTTCTTGCTATTGCACAATACTTATTATATAATAATTTACACATCCTGTTTGGTGTGTATCTCCTTCCATATCATTATTATTTGATTTTAAATATAAATCAGAAATAACCAACTTAAAATGGAAAATTTTAACAGAAACAAAAAAAGAAAAAAAGAAAAAAAAGGAAAAAAAAATAAATCCCCCCCCAAAATTTTTTGAACCCCCATTATGATTCATCACCCCCAAACTCAATCCCAGCCTTCCCTTTGTGGTATGGTACCTTGCAGTACAATTTCAGAGAGATCCATACACTTGAACACAAGTTATTGTCTGGAAACTAGAAAAAAATGTGTTTTTTGGCCCCTTTTTGGCCCCAAATTCCTAAACGTTTAGGGAAATTACCCCCAAACTCAAACCCAGCTTTCCCTTTGTGATATGGAACCTTGTAGTACAATTTCAGAAAGATCCATACACTTACACACAAGTTATTGTCATGAAACTAGAAAAATGCTTGTTTTTTGCCCCTTTTTTGGCCCCTAATTCCTAAAATTTGGAGGCAATTACCCCCAAAATCAATCCCAGCATTCCTTTAGTGATATGGAACCTTGTGGTACAATGTCAGAGAGATCCATACACTAACACACAAGTTATGTCTGGAAGTTACAAAAATGCTTATTTTTGGCCCCTTTTTGGCCCCTAATTCCTTTACTGTTATTACCATAACCCCCAAAATCAATCCCAACCTTCCTTTTGTGGTATTGAACCTTGTGGTAAAATTTCATAAAGATCCATTCACTTAAACTAAAGTTAGAGTGCGAAAACCAATGTGTCTTCGGACGACGCCAGACGACGCCGACGCCGGACGACGACGACGCCAACGTCATACCAATATAAGACCACAAAAATTTGTTTGCGGTCGTATAAAAATGAGGTGTTCAAATATAAGGAATGGAGAAAAATAGCATAAAAAATAAAGAATACAGAAATGAAGGCCCCTTCCAGATCAAAAAGAAGTGCCAGAGAATTAACTAAACTTTGATATTTAAGACTAAGGATTTGTAAATCCTTGTTAAGACTAACAAAAATATGAAAGAATATTAGGAATAATTTTAAACTGGTTGGGATCATCGATCCATCAATGAGGGAATTTTTCCCCAAAAAAGTAACAATCCCTAAGTTGAGTAATAATATACTAGTGCCTTAAATGTCTTTTTACTTGAAATGGTACGAGTTTATGGAAAAAAGATTTTTTTTTTGGCAAAAGAACTATTTTAATTTTTTATTGGAGAAAATGAGAATTTTACATTTGACCTGGAGAAAATAACAACAATTTTTGATAAGTTATATTCACTTACAGATACAAAAATGTAACCTCAGAATGCAGGATTTCACATTTAATTTTCCAAAATTTTCTTGGGGGGGGCATGCCCCCAAACCCTCCTAGGTTCCGATCACTTTGTGATCCTCACCGGTGACACAAAATTATTCAGGTCTAGTAAACATCAATGCGGGCTAGTGCTTTGAAAAGTTTTTGGCACAGACTGTCTACACACAACTATTCAAAATATTGTCAACTTTATGATTACGTAACTTTAATCAATCAGGATTTGATTGAATTAAGTGATTACAAGTTGCATTACCTTAGTTCACAATCATCAGACAATAGTTGAATAAACAAACCAATTATTATAGACTAATGATTTGATTAAACAAGTCATCATAATGAGTTAAACTTTATAGGTTTCATTGGACCGTAAATATTTATTTATCTCGTCTAAGTGTGATTTCAATAATTAAAAATCGCCATGACATTCAAAGTTATCAAGGAAAATACCTTAATATTATTATGCTGAAGCTGCTATACAAACAGACACAATCACAACCATTTCTGTATCGACTTTAAAAATTTTAAATCTTTCATCTTACTGGTACTCCAATATATTCATACTTTACTGACCTGTTGTCATCCATCATTGATACTTTTAACAAATTCCATTTATACTTATTAAATGTCTATATAGTTTATTCCTTATCATTTTATTATGGGGCCGGATAGACGTGGGGCCAGATTGACGTGGGCCGGATCGACTTGGGCTGGATCGACTTTGGGCTGGATTGACTTGGGGCCGGAACGACCGGAAACCAAGAAAGACAACTCTTACTTCCAACATTTCTGGAAAAATGTTACTTGAATCAGTTGTTATCCATTCGTTTGATGTGTTTGAGCTTTTGATTTTGCCATTTGATTAGGGACTTTTCTTTTTTTAATTTTCCTCCGAGTTCAGTATTTTTGTGATTTTACTTTTTTTTTTTAAGTAAGTCCCCGGACTGTTGACTCGTGAGTGAAAATTATTTGACAATATTTTATCTCCATTTTTGACATGGATGCGACCATGATAAATCAAATTCTTAAAGTTCGTATCCGACAAAATGCTACTATTGTCGCCTACGGAACTGACATTATTTAAATCCATACGCCGGCTAAATAATTTTCAATTAGATCAATTTCTAGCAACAAAGATGGCCGCCAATACAGAATTTAGCTTTCATGCTTTAGTTTTGGATACCTTGGGCCTCTCATATATCCTCTACCACGTGGAGGGCCGTTGTATTGATTTCTGTGTGATCTGAAATCACGATCACCATTGTCTCTAGGCCCATGGTCATGATGATCATGTTCATTTTGTTCATCGTCGCCCATCTTGTCAGGTCGCGTTTTGTAGGTTAACTGGTTACCGATTTTCCTGCAGGCACCAGACCGGTAAGACTAACATAGGCTAAACTTATTTCATGCTGTGACGCCGTCCGGTGATTTAAGACGTTTCGACCATACTTTGTGACTACCACTTCGGCTATGGGACATAATATATTGATAGTCACAACAAGTACGGGACAACTCGGCCCGGAGACAACTCGGACCGTCTATAATAGTATTAGTATAATAGTCCCAGATTAATTCAAACTTATGATAAATTTATTGATTTTAACAAGGATCACTATACAAATCCTTGATTATAATATTTGTTTATTATAATATCGTTGCATTTTGCCTAGTTTCGATATTGAATTAGATTAAATTAACAACCAGTAATGTAAATTTAATTATTCCAATCTCCAACAATAGACTTTTGCATGTCTACACAAAAATGTTGTGATCTTGAATACCGACTTGTCTCCATATAGACGGTCCGAGTTGTCTTTTTCGTAGACACTCATTTAATCATTTATATAGTCAAAACTTTTCATCAATACTTTGTCTAAGCTGGGACTATAATACTAAATATAATATATTATGTCTCAGGTCTAAGTTGGCATTGTAGACGGTCCGAGTTGTCTTACACACGTCAAGACATCCCAACAGACATATACGATCAATATTGTCACCACCAAAGAGAGAAACCTACGTAGCAACAGCTCAAATTGTAGGGGAATATTTAGCAAGATCAGGCCGATTTCAAGAACTGGCAAGCCCTGAATCCTGATCCTGCGACTAAACTACTCAAAAGTACCGTGAGAAATTACCCTATTAAAGCAACGATGTACCATCACAGAAAACAAAATAGTACAGAGAGACAAGTTGTGCCACGGTCAATTTTGACCTTAGGATATCAGGATCAGGAAGATCACAGATAATATATAGAACTTTTCCATGGTCTTTGTAGTTTCTGCCAATAAGAGTTAGTATAAGCCCAATGGCAGGATAACTTTTCGACTAGCCAGATATTCATAATTAAATAAAAAGTAAATTTGAGAATAACGACTTTGTTCAAATCTAAAAATTCGGATTATTCTTCAATAATTTAATTTTGGATGTAACACGTCTTCTGATTGGCTGAAAGTTTTTTGTCTATCAGCTCATAGACAGTATTTTGTCATGTGACCGTACGTGGCGTCATCAACGTTTTTTCATGATTTAATTACTCCATAAAAATGGAATTTCGAATTAAATTATAAGGAATGACTGTTATATTTTTTTTTGTCCATTCAAAGATGCAAAAAGTAAATTTTACAATAACGACTTTGTTCAAACCTGGAAACAGTATATCTATCATATATATATATAATATATATATGTTCCTGTTCAAATCTAAAACTTCGGATTATTCTCCAATAACTTTTTTCCCAATCATCTTTCTTTTTACTATCAATATTTATTTCAGACCCAAAATAATATGCAATTCGTGTGCCAAAATCAATTACTTGCTTTGTCCTACCCATTGCAACAAACTTTAAAATTAAAAAAAAGAATTTGGTATTTTGAAAATGGACTATGATCTGACTACGCCGGTTGCTGCAAAGTAAGTAAAATAGTTTTATTTTCGTAGATAATCTTAAATTAAGTTGTAAATGAATGTTCCTATATCAAAACCAGGGTAAAAAAAAAATTGTTAAAATAAATGTTGAATTTATGAATCTGTCAGACAAATAATGGAGTGCGAAAGTATTTGCAACAGGTGTTCGGAACAGCTGAGGAGTTCCGAAACCCAAATTAATATTTTGTCATCCTCAAATGGATCATGTGATGTGAGTTTCGGTTTCATTGTCTTCTCTGATCAAAGAATTAATCGATACCAGTATGGATTCTTATTCCAAAAGAAATCGACAATTCAACAATCAATAAAATCGGTTACAGAAAAGTGACTCATCAGCATAGCCGCCACAGTTTGACAGTAATTTTTCCAGTTGGTGGTCCAGAGTCGGAAATTTCTAATTTTGTTGTTTATCTCAACGATCAATAGACATATTCAAATCTGATAAGGACATGTTAAAAAGACTTGGAAACTTTTAAAAATAATTTCAAAGAATGTAACGACTCTGGTATCTGACAAATAAGTTTCTGCTTTGATATTTATATACAGTTTGTAAACCTATTCTTTTTTATGCAAGTTTTCCATTTAAACAAAATTGAGAATGACCAGTATTTCACATGTGCATACTGTAGCGCCACCTCCTGATGTAACATTTGCAGCCCCAGGATTGCCTGATAACCGTATTCCAAGGTCACCAACACGTACAAATACAAGGGGCAATGAAGAAAGTTCACCTCTGCTAGTTTCTAGAGTTGAACATGAGTATGGGTTATTTGAAAATAATTTCCCAGATGATCCAAATTTTCAAGAAATAATCAGAGAAGCTGAAGCAGCAATTGATCAAGGAATTCTGCCAGAAAGAATCTATCAAGGTTCAAGTGGAAGCTACTTTGTTAAAAATACAGATATGGTTAGTTTTTATATAATCATTGATTAATACTGAGAAATAAAATAAATGTGTCCACTTCTTATCCCAAATTACAATGTTCCAATTTTACAGTTCCAGATTCAGATTCAATGTACTATTATAGTCTCACCATATACTTGACATCCAATTATACACTGTATAAAAGGCAATAAGATTCACAAAATAATATTTGCAGGACCAAAAATAAAGTTTAGATTGACGTTGCCTACCATGTTCATTGTACATGTACCCACCTAAAAAGCAGCCTACCAGAAAATTTTTATGACTCAAATCGTTTCAATTATTTTAGAAGATTTTTTCCTGCTCTAACATCGTTTTCTTGTTTAAAACATGTAACTTATGTTGTTGCCGCCCCCCAAACCCCCACCCCCCAAACAAAAATCCATACCCACTTACCCAACCCTACAAGGCATGGATAGGTAACATGAAACAAAGAATCTTTGAAGGGTGGGCCAATGTATGCTCCAATCCAAAAATATTTAGTAGAGACTTTTGAGACCTGTTATCTATATACATTTTTATTCATCCACATAAAATTTACGATGTTAAATTGATATGCAAAACATGTTTCTTTTAAATGCTGTTGACATAATATTCTGTGTCTCGGTCAATCTCCTCATGACAAATACACTGTTGTTGTAGGTTTTGACAACTACAGTTGTAACATTTTTATTATTTCTAGATAAAAATATAAATTTCTCGCTATCTGATAACATGTTTATATGTTCATTGAAACTGAGAGCTTCATGAATCATGATTTGTCTTCATATAACAGACATTTAAAAATGAAATGAAATTCATCTTCTACATGTATAATAGAAATGCAGTCAAAACATGTCCCTTCATTATCTTGAACTCAGGAATCTGGTGAGATTTTGTTGGCCCAGTGACAATGTGAGGGCATGGGGTATGTGAGCGTGCTCACAAAGGTCCTTTCATTTTCATTGTCAATAAATGTAGATTTTAAAATGTTTTGCATTTACTTCATCATTGTTTAATAAAACAATTTGAGTACACAGTTTGTTATGGACTTTGGTCCCATGGTCAAAAGCCAGGAAAAACTTAATCAGTCTGATAAACAATGGTCAGAATATCTGATTTTCTACTGGTGCTTTGTCACTGTCAAACTGGTCTTATATATATATTCTATCAAGGTGCAAAATGTAACATTGCTTTGTTCAAATTTAGTATGATGTTTCCTGTTAATAATTTATTTTTGCTGGAATATATGTATATATTTGGTTGTTTAACTGCAACAGGTGTAAATTCTCTTTTTTTCCGACGTTGGAAAGTTCCGGGCGGAAAGAACTTACTAGCCAAAAAGTTCTGGAGGAACTTATTAACTAGTTACTTTGTTCTTCCTCTGGTTTAAAAGTTCCACCAGAACAAAGTGACTAGTTGAAAAGTTCGTACGGAACATATCAACTAGTTAGAAAGTTCTTTTTTGCCAAATTAGTCAAAACCGGAACTAACAAACTAGCCCAAAAGTTCCAACGGAACTTATCAACCAGTCACAAAGTTCCATTTGGAGAATTGATGCAAAGAACCTCATGAGGAGGGGGTATTCTTCCCTCTCTTGAGGGTACTATGAATACTAAATTTGCATGATAATGCAACTTATTCCGTTTTATGTGAGCTATGAAATACAACTTACCGGTAAATTTTGCATATTTGTCCTCAAAGAAACCCCTTTCAGTGCGTTGGGTATTCTTGTAAATTAATGATATGCTCTTATATATACTGATACTCATTCTTCCCCCTCTTTCTACAAAAAGGACGAAATATGGTATATTCGGAACGATGTAACTAGTTGTTCTGTTCCGCCAGAACTATTCAACTAGCTACAATGTTCCGGGACTTTTCAACTAGCTACTTTTTTCCAGAACTTTTCGACTGCAATCGGAATAAAACAACTAGTTGGAAAGTTCCATCGGAACGAAATAACTAGTTGAAAAGTTCCGCCGAAACAAAGTAACTGACGGAACATAGTGGCTGTTACACAGGCACCAAGGGACCATACTCTAGGAGCTCTCACAAACCCCCTTGTACTTGTCACAGAAAAACAAACATAAACATGATAAAGCTAATAAAAGTTCTACTTTATTCATAGCAATTAACATATAAAATATACTGACGGACTTTAAAAATGCAAAACCAGATTATTTGTCCCCTACCGACGAAGTCGAAGGGGACTTTAGGCTTGCACTCTGTCCGTCTGTCTGTCCGTCCGTCCGTCTGTCCATCCGTCAGTCCGGCAACTCAGCTTTCCATACTTTTTTTCTTTGTTCTTGGAGATATTGATTTGATATTTGGGTATATAGTTTTATCATGACAAGTTATAGATCAAGTTCGAATTTTGTTCCAGTCTGATAATTTTGTCCAGAGTTATGGTCCATGAAAAAACTCCATAACTAATGTTAGAGTACTATGTTAAACCATATATCTGTACAAAGGGAGATAACTCATTTTTTAAAAGCCATTCTTTGGTAAATTGTTTGAGGAATTTTGTGGCAGGTGTATATGTTATTTTGTATAAACTAATTTTCTGAATGCTACATGTATATATATATATATATATATATATATATTTTTTATTAAGTGAAATCCTTTAATTAGATAATAATCTATTTTTATTAAGGTACATGTATATATTTCAATACATTACATTGTGTAGATAAAAGTTGTTGACATTTTATAGGTAAGTTACAAATCTATATTAGTTTGTGACAAATGAAAGAAAAAATATTTGGAACTATCAATTATATTTGATTGTAAATTGATTGATTGATTGTTGGTTGCTTAACGTCCAGTGGCTCTTGTAATTTGAAAATAGATATACATTGTATTACATCATATCTAATGTTAGAGTATTACCCGGTATAGGTTTTCCACACTTTTTTTCATCATGATTGAATATTTGATTGACAATTGGTAAATAGTTTTATCATGACAAGTTACAGATCATGTTCAAATTTTTGTTTAGGTCTGATAATTTTGTGCAGAGTTATGGTCCTTGGACTTGAAAAAATTCACTCATATTTTCAGTTTTCCACACTGTTTTTAGTCATGCTTGAAGATATTGACTTGATATTTTCTTTTTGTTTACACCAAGTTATAGAACAAGTTAGCATTTTGTTCCAGTATAATGAATTTTTACCCGGTAGGGGACTATGTATTGCCATGCAATACTCTCAGAATGCTTGTTCTTTTTAATTCTCATTTTAAAATATGCAATTTTTATACGACCACAAAAAATTTTTGTGGGCGTATATTGGTATCACATCGTCGTCCGAAGACACTTGGTTTCCTGACAATAACTTTAGTATCAGTAAATAGAAATCTATGAAATTTAAAACAAGGTTTATAACCACAAAAGGAAGGTTGGGATTGATTTTGGGGGTTATGGTCCTAACAGTTTAGGAATTAGGGGCCAAAATGGGGCCCAAATAAGCATTTTTCTAGTTTTCAGACAATAACTTGTGGAACGGTGTATGGATCTCTCTGAAATTGTACAACAAGTTTCCATACCACAAAGGGATGGTAAGGATTGGCTTTGGGAGGTAATGGCTCAAACCGTTTAGGAATTAGGGTAAAAAGAGGGGGAAAAACAAGGGTTTCCTTGTTAATGGACAATCACTTTTAAGTACAATGTTAAATTTGGATTACTTCCCTTACACTGCTTTAAAATTATGTATAAAGAAATTTTGTATTGTCTTGAGGTGATTAGCTGTCAATTTATTTTTAGAAGCTTAAGTTACTAATAAAAATACTGATTAAAAAGATATATTATTTGTAGACATGATTATGTATGTCATTTTCTATTTGAAGACTTTTATGATTTATTTAAATGGGTAATTATGGTTGCAAACTCCATTGGGAATTGAGATAATGACCATATCTTGAGGGAAAGATTTTTTTTTTTGGAAAAAGGGGAGGGGGAGGGGGGTGGGGGTAAACAAGAAATTGTGGGGAGGGAACAATTTTTTTTTCTCATTACAGATTTCAGAATCCTTCCAGTCCAAAATACAGTTATGCTATTAATAATAATAATAATAATATGATAATTCTTTATTTAAAGAGTTTGATCTTGAGTTTATTTGAGATTGAATGAGATGTATTTGATGAGTTTAGTTGTTATTAAGTCAGTCAATTATCAGGATTAATGCAGGTGATTCAAGCAAATATGTTAATAATTTGGGTGATACTGTCATATATGTATTTTATACTGGTCCATTTTGGGAAAACAGAACATTGTTGAAAAACCTGCTCAATTATTATACTGTATTTCTAGTACAAATATGTATGTAAATGGGCAACCAGATTACCAGAACCTGAAACCTAAAAGTGATTAGTAATCATACAATTATATTCCAATTATGAGCTCAGTATCTTCAAGGAGGGTTGAAAACTTGAAAAGGGGAATAATCTACATTTCCATGAAATTTTTCATGTTCAATGACCATAATTATTCTAAAAGCAGGTAAACCTGAGTTACCTGTGGTAAATACATGTAGGTCAATCATGTCAATAGTATGTTCATTACAACCAACCTCAGTTACCTGTTGTAAATACATGTAGGTCAATAGTATGTTAATTACAACCTAACTCCAGTTACCTGTTGTAAATACATGTAGGTCAATAGTATGTTAATTACAACCAAACTCCAGTTACCTGTTGTAAATACATGTAGGTCAATTGTATGTTAATTACAACCAAACTCAGTTACCTGTTGTAAATACATGTAGGTCAATAGTATGTTAAAAAAAGGGGGTAAAACAAGGGTTTCCTTGTTAATGGACAATCACTTTTAAGTACAATGTTAAATTTGGATTACCTCCCTTACACTGCTTTAAAATTATGTATAAAGAAATTGTGGGGGGGAACAATTTTATTTTCTCATTACAGATTTCAGAAATTAAAAACGAAAATTTCTTCAAATATTTTGCAAAAAAAAGGCGTGGGGTGAAAAAAAATGTTTTGCC